TCGGTCGCCTCCCCACCGACGGTCACATCCCCGCGCCCGGCCGTGGGTTGCACCTTCCCTCCCCCGCAGGTCTCGTCGCGAGGGTTGGTTCCGACGGACACGCGGCGCTGAATTTGTTTGTTTGTTTGTTTGTTTGCTTTCTGGCGTGGAAAATCGACTGAATTCTGGCTGTAAAAGGCGCTGCCTGTGCTCTGTCCAAGCAGAGGGGGAATTCGCATTCCGGTGCTATTTTTCTGCAGCTGCTGCAGAGTTGGAAACGAATGAAAACAGCGTTGTGTTACACACACGCCATCTCCCTTCTGCCTCAAGCAACCTGCAGAAAGGAGAGGAAAGGTGATTTGGCTGCAGGAGGCTTAACTTACAGCTCAATTAAAGGGTCACGGTAGGGCGATAACCGCACCTGGTGCATTGTCTTATTGTCATTTAACTGCACCATACCCGGTAAAAAGGGAATTAATTATCAGTATCCCCCAAATGAATTCTGCTGCTTATGCTGGGTACTTCAAGTGTCTAATCGTGGAGCTACCACAGAAAATATTTCACTTTCGAACTGTGTGTCCAAATGCATTCTAGGCTTTTACTGTTTGGTTGGTCCTGTGTTTAAGGCTGGGGGCCCTCAAAAAACTGACAGCTTTACTTTTGGAAAAGACAGTTGTGACAAGGATGCATCAGGAGTCAAATACTCGTCACTGGAATGGAACTAATAGTTAATCATGGCAAGCTCTTCATTAAGTAAATTGCAACGAAATTCAGAGTGAAATGAAGACCATCTACTGGACCATAAGGCATGCGCTGTAAGAACGGCAGTACTTGAAGTCAAAAATTCAAATTTAATTTTGCGTAGGAATAAACTGAGCACAGCTCTCTTCCCACACACATACCTTTGTTTTTGAGATCTTTTTGAAATGTTTTTTAGTTCCATTGACTTGATCCAAAATTTTTGGTTGTCTGCTACCGCTTTCTGTCCTGGGGGAAAGAAACAAGGTACTGTTTATAAAAATTTGACCGTGTGAGAGAAAGCCTGACTAATTTGTAATTACTATTCTGATATTTTACTGGGAGGGATGGCGGGGGAATAAAATTGCTTAGGTGTTTGGAAAGTGTTTTTTACTCAAATGCAAGGTCTCCATTTTCATGGACTGCTGAGCTATGTTATTTTCAAATCCAAGTCTCTGCTTTCAGTACAGAAATGACATTTAAAGCAACGGAGTCCTCCCACCTCACTCACATCTCTCATCAATTCTTTCTCAAAGTTTTGACTTAATTTCCGCCCTGCAGACTTCCACCTGGTGTCAGAAGCAGCAGACCGAAGGAGCTGTGAAAGGCTGCTTGCTCTTAAAATGGCACAGAAGGGAAGTTCAGCTTGCTTGAGCCTTTGATTTGCCATCCTGTCTGCCTTTGTGAGGCCGCTTGTGGAACAGGGTGGAGTCGGAGCTGTTGGACCCTGTAGAGTCATGGGAAAATGGAAAGAAAGTTTCCATATAAGTTTAGGCTACCATAGGTTCATTATTGATATTCCTACCAATTTCTCCTTCAACCAGTGAAAGCGTGTTTTCTCAGGTATTATGAACTGAAGCAACGACCCAGAGAACGTGCAGCTGTCCTATCTCTACAGGTTAGAAAGCTGGCTGGCCAGACACAGTACTGCTCCATGAGAAAAGGACATCTCGAGACTGTCTTCGAGGCCTCTGGGCACGCAGGGAAAAGCTCCCAGCTACTTAGAGCTCCATCGGGAGAAAGAGCTGGGTGTACAAGGTGTGCAAGGTTTCAGCTTACAGTTGTCTGTAATAAGCTTGTTGACAAACGTAACAAGCAAAGGAGGGAGTCCAAGATGATGGGGAGTACAGCTGCAATTAGTGCAGTGCTTTGCTGCTTCTTGTTAGTGTAACTTGCTGAAAGCCTCTCTGTGCAAAACAACTGCCTTTTTTTACCTCTGGCAATTGCTGTAGCTGGTAAAAAGCATGATCTTGCATGTGAGGAGGTAACCGTACTATCTTCTGTAAATGGTTTTAGTTTGGGTGTGCTTCCCCCTTCCCTAAGCATACAAACAGCGGAAGAGAGGATAAAAGTTTAAAACATGTGCAGAAGGCTGTACGGCTCGAGCCATGCCTTGTCAATACAGAAGGCAGGCACATGCACACGTACTGGCTTATAAAGAAAATTATAAATTATTGGCTGATGTGGTCCAGGTTGTAAGTCTCAATGACTGTGATATTAAAGTTCTTGAAACCATTTAAGGAGTAGCTGCTACTAACCATGAGAAACCAGACACCTTCGCTGGGAAGCTTAAGGTGATCAACTCTGTCAGGACATCACAGATTCACTGAAAATGCTGCGTATCACAGAAAGTCTTGTCTTGCACCTGCCTCTGATTTGACTACAAAGACAGTTCTCTATGACACTAGCATGGACCAATATGAAAAGTTTCACTTTACGGTTTATACCGAGGAGGCTAGAGCCTGTTTTGGCAGCAAATGTTTTCTAGGACTATTCTCGTTAGAGTTGTTGACACTGTTGTGCTTTATTCCGTTCACCGATCTCTACTTGGACTGATAATAATGGAGCATTTTATACAGAACCTGTGGTCCTTTCTCAAGCGAGTGTTTCAGCTCTGAGATGACACTATCAGAAAGCTTGTAAACAATGCTCATCCAGTGGAAGCCTCTGGGGAATTCCAGGGTAAAATAACTGAGATGAAAACTTCCCACCACAAAATGCTGCATTTCTGATTTTGCTAGAAAATAAGATTTTTACTATGGAATTTACTGTATCATTTTAATGTACCAGTATTTAGTTCTGTCTTTTAATCCAAAAGCAAGACTTTCAGTTTATTTGTGCTCACATTGGAAAGATGATCCTGCTTCCCTTGTGCATCCTGCTTCAGTTACCATCGAAGTTAATTACATATCCAGGTTTTGACAAGCAAATGAGAATTTAAAAAAAATATACTAAGAGCTTGCATCAATAAAGTCATGTTTTCAAGGAAATAGGACAGTATGCTGAAAAAGACACATAGAAGACATGAAATGGAAGTAAAAAATGTTCAAACTTGCTAACTCCTATATTATGTAATACATATATGCTCAAGAGAGTGTAATTCCATACAACTCTGGTGGCAGAGCTAATGTCTCTGTAGGCTATATGCAAGTTAAACTAGGAGAAGGTTCTGATAGCCTGCCCAGGTCTTTTGTGAACATACCCGTCACTCTCTCCTTGGTGCACCTTTTCCACAGCTGACACTGTTCTGAGTAGTAAAGTGGTTGATCCAATAAGCATTTGCAATAAGCAGTCTATTGTAACTTGCAGTGTATGCATGATGCTGGATTTTGAAGTGAAAAGGTATTAAACACAAGGTTTCACTCTGCTTGTAATTCTTGAGCGGTCTGTAGGAAATGCATACTTGTATAACACAACTGGCACTGACAAGACGTATCTACATCCAGTGAAGCCATAAGGCAAAAGCTGACTAAATTTACTCAAAGGAGAGCCTTACCTGGATGAGGGCTTGTTGGACCTGTGTTCAATTTAATCACTGGCACACTGTGTACTTAATTATACCCTAATTAAAAAACAGAAGTGACAAACACAATCAAGATAAATTTTGATTGGGCAAAGCCATATGGAATGCAATCCCTGAAGTCGTCAGATTAGAAACTGACCTTGGAGGATTTCACTGTGCGTGAACAGTAGCCAGGCAGAAAAGCAGACCCCAAAGGAGACATCAAAGGAAGGAACACGCGGAAAAAAGGAAGCATACCAGTGGGTTAGAGAGTTAAATATATAGCAGTCATTGATACAACTAGGTGAAATAGTTGCTTTTTAATCCACCCTCACAATACATATCAATGTGCTTTATGGGACGGAGTTGTTATAATCTGAGTTATTAGTAAGAAAAGAGTTAAAATTACTTTCCACAGTGTACACAGTGAAAAAGAGTGAAAGAAAGCTTCTCAGTCTCAACCCAAAACATTAACCAGTAAGCTTTGGAAAGAGATCAGTACACAAAGAAGTCCCGAACAAAAAAAATTGTCAATTATACCATACACAATCTGCTAACTGAAATAGTTATTGGATATTCATAGCACTCCTTAAAGCTGCCACATTTGTTACGATGTTTCCTCCGCTGGGATCAGGAGACTCAAACACAAGTCATTATTACGCAGCCAGGAGTAACACAAATAATTCGTGAATGTTCCTTCATGACTATTTTTGGATCTACTTCCTCTGTGTAACCTCCAAACACAAAAGAAATAACAGTATCTTTTTTTCAAGTGGGAACATTAACCAAATAAATAGTGCATAGGTTCCTGAAATTACAATTTTATTACTGTCATTCAAACTGTCTGACATATCGCAGACGTCAAAAGCTAGCTGTAAAGGAATCTTGATTTCCCTTAATAAAAGGGATACTGGGATGTAGTTTATCGTTCTCACCACAAAGAGATCCAGCATCAAGTCTGGACTGAATAAGAGCTGTAACAGCTACCAGTTAACCAAAACATTTTAGTACAGAAGATACTGTTTAGGCAAGGACTATCCAATTTTTATTTAAGCAACAGATTGTTACAAGTTCTGGGTAATAATTATTACAGATAACAATTGTTATACTAACCTTTGGAACATACCCCTGCATCGCAGCTTAACATGCATTCTTGGCATAAATAAACAGCAGCACATAGAGCAAGGAGAAAAGTATGGCATTACAAAGACTTATAAATTAGCTGGATTTAGGAGATTGCAAGAAATACTTTTTCTTTTAATCAGGAAATACTCAAACTTATTTACAGATTGTAACTAAGCAAGAAATCTATTACAAAAAGTAAACAAACTAGGGCTACATTCTTCATATTGTTCCCTCAGTTCAAAATTACGACAGTGCTGAACTTCGGGAAAACAGAAAAGGTAGACAAATTTTTCCTTGCAGTATGAAAAGCCTGATTCAACCATCCTAGGCATCTAACTTTATCCTAGATAGGGTGTATAAAATTGCCAAATAGTGTTAGACAGTCTAAATATCAGTGCTCAAGCATTTCTGGCTTCCAAACAGGCACAAGAGGGACGCAATTCAGAGTCATCTAATACAGCAGCAGCAGCATGGCAACAAGGAACAACATTTGCACGTGCAGCAGTGGAAAAATACTGAAATAAAATTCTGCTCAAGTTCATTTGAGTACTGATGCTCTTCACTCTTTAGCCTTTTGGCAGTTTAGTGTAATTCAGTAGATTTTTTTTTTGCGATGAGACCTCTGACTAGGTGCATCACTTTCAGGGTCACAATCATCCAATATTAGATCCTTTAGATCCTGCATTTCTGTCCCTCATGAGAGGTGTTAGGCTGTGGGAGACTCCTTGCAGCTTAGTCCTCTACAGTCACTAGCCACCACCATCAAATCCTATTCATTCACAGAGGTTTTGATGGAAGAAGGCAGCCTGATT